TTCCTAGTGCGACTTTTGGAATTTGTTCTGACCCATAATGTTTTTCTCTTTGACCACCAGTACTATCTACAGGGCACTGCCATGTGGACGAAATGTGCACCCTCCTACGCCAATTTATATCTGGGTGGCTGGGAGCAGGAATTGTGGGCCAGGGAGGACTTATCTATGTACCTATGCCATGTGTTAGCGTAGCATAGGTACATAGATGATATCCTTTTGCTGTGGACAGGGGGTGTTGACCTTCTGAGAGACTTTGTGGACATATTGAATTTCAACGAGTTTAATCTAAAATGTACCCTTACCTATGATTGCAGTAAGCTACCCTTTCTGGACATTCTGGTGTGTAGGGACCCTGGGGGGGTCCTTTACACCAGTCTGTACAGGAAGGCTACAACTGGAAATGCCATTTTAGAAGCAAGCAGTGCCCATCCCAAATGCCATTTGGCCAATATTTGAGAGTCAGGAGAAATTGTACCAATGACGTAGACTTTGAAAGGGAGGCACTCAATTTAAGACTTAGGTTACGGGCCAGAGGTTATTCCAACAAAATACTCAAAAAATCCTACCAACGTGTAAAAAGTGGACCCAAAAGACCTTATAACACTAATAAATGCATATCCAAACTGAATAAAAACGATAAAGAAGACCCCCTTGTGAGATTAATTCTAACTTATAATAATCAACACGCAGAAATATCAAAGATTCTCCAAAAGCATTGGCATTGCCTAACTAGAGATTCTAGAATTTCGAAGTTTGTGGGTATTAAACCCACCATTACCTACCGGCGATGCCCCTCCTTGAAAGACAAACTGACTAGTAGTGACTTTGCAAACAGGACCAGTACCTGCTGTAAATATCAGGGCACCTTCCAATGTCAGAGGTGCAAATTCTGTCGATTCGTCCAGACTGGAGCGGAGATATCCACCCCCAGGGGTAAGAGATTCAAGGCCCGTCATTTTGTTAACTGTGAGACAAAAGGTGTCATATATCTGATGCTGTGCAAATGGGATATGTTCTATGTGGGAAAAACGAAACGCATGTTTTAAGAATATCTGACCACCTGACCGACATATCAGCCAGAGATCTTAGGTCACCTATAGTTAGACATTTTGTAAATACCCATAATGGACGGATCGACAGACTTCGCTTCTTTGCTTTGGACAGGGTCCATCAACCCAGACGTGGGGGGGATTGGGACAAATCTCTCCTGCAAAGAGAGTGTAGATGGATTCATCAGACTGAATCTCATGAGGCGCCAGGGCTTAACGATATGATTAATTTTAGTTGTTATCTCTGAACCATAAGGTACGCCAAACATAATGCTTTTTGTTTTATATATAGAGTTTACCTATACTTTATTTACCATTATATCTAGGATCCCAGAGTCTAGAACATTAGTTTGAAATAATTTAATATATATTTATCTGACTTAATCCATGCTTGACTGTCCTCTTATCTTACATAGTTACATAGTATTTGAGGTTGAATAAAGACATTAGTCCATCAAGTCCAACCTATTAGGATCTCATTCTAGGAGTACCTGTACCCCTGTATATTACCTGTACCCCTGTATATTACCTGTACCCCTGTATATTACCTGTACCCCTGTATGTTACCCGTACCCCTGTATGTTACCCGTACCCCTGTATATTACCTGTACTCCTGTATATTACCTGTACCCCTGTAT